TGTGGCCTTCGATTACTTTGCACAACTGAATCATACTGTACTGCTGTTATTATTGTACCATTATTGTTTCCAAAACCATTTCATGTATACGCGTTATTGTTTTGTTCTAGTTCTTGTTTTGTTTTTAAATTCTATTAGGTATTTATTTTGTTGGGTCCTTTTGGGCCATGTCTAAGTTGAATCTGTGGAACCTTTCTTCAACCTTCTTTTATTTCACCTTGCATAATAGAATGTTCACCTGTTTCTTTTTAATTGCTTATGATAATTATCTATCTATCTTTTTTCATGTTAATCTTAACATTATCTTTCACCAAAAGCAATCATTTCTTCTTTAAGCTCTCTTCGTATTATATTTCCTTTTATTTTTTGGTTCCTCAAATAATAATCGACTTCTCCACTGAACATGATTTGCTTTTAGTAAGACTTAGTCATCATTTAGCAATCCCCTGTGCGTTCGTTGTATCGTGTAACATTATGACATCATTCCACGTCTGTGATAAAAGTCATTGAAACATTGGAGCTATCAGCAGATACATAGGTAGACTGGATAGTGGATGTAATTACCTTTTAGTGTTTTGTCATGTTTATGCAGGCTGGGATTAACTCAGCTTTATTTACCTGCTTATTGGTACTTAAATAAAAGTTTTTGATATCTTAAAAATATAGTGCTTCTCCCCACCTGCTCTATCTTTAGTTGAATCAAATGAAATGATTATACGTTTAGAATTAACAGTGAGAACTTCCCACGACTCCGGAATTGTATTTGATTGAACTTGGAAATGTATTTTTTATTAGATCAACGTTAGAGTTAACTACTACCCGTCTCTAATGTCCGCGGGAAGACTAGGGGTGCGGAATAATATATTCAACGTTGCCGTAAATAATTGCTTGTATGTTGCATAAAAGATACAAGCAATTATTTATAATTATTATCAAAAGTCATTGTTCTTCTTCTTTTTATGGTGCCACTTCATTCTTCTAGGTTGGCCGTCAGCTTTTGAATTGGTCCTTGTCATTGGCCTGGCGGAAAAGTTGTTCTACAGAGCTGATTCCAGTCCACTCCCGAATATTGCGCAGCCACGACTTCGCTTCGAGCGCTTCTCTGCCCTTCCACCTTACGCATCATAATATGAAGCTTACATGTAGCACAAGTCATAGTCGACAGACTGCACGGTTGGTGCGGTGGCTGGGCAACCGGCTGCCGTGCAACGTGTCGCGGGTTCGATTCCCGCACGGAACAACACTTTGTGTGATCCACAAATAGTTGTTTCTGGTCTGGGTGTCATTGTGTATGTGAACTTGTATGTTTGTAAACGCACCTACGACACAGGAGAAAATCTCAATATGGGGCAACGTAAATAAAAAAAAAGAAATATATTATCACCCTCTCAGTTTCGCCTCAGTAACTCGTATCGTGAAAAAATGTGATTATCGACGAACCCATCTTCTGACTTATGCAAAGCGAATGCATTTTCACAAGTAATTGAGAGGTCAAATACCATCAGTTTACCGACCTCTGCTCAAGGTTGCTGGCGAATAATTAGAGCTGCACTAAGGACGGTGCGGGTACCCGACTATATGAAACATTTTAGTCATAATAATAGTAAATTGTTTTAAAGTTTTAGTGCTGAATTATGTTAGAGGGAAAGAAATTAAAAGGTTCGTGGGGGAATTGTAAAGAAACCAGAGAAACGTGGAGTGATATTTCTCTTTTGTATTTTCTGATGAATTGTTTAAAATGTCAATGTTGAAATTAATTCTCAAATCTCAGGCCTTATCCAAGACCGGGCACGAACTTATAACTTCTCAGGGGTTACGGATACCCACTCCAGCGGTGTAGGAGATGCTAATTGCTTACCATCAGGTCTCTTCATTTGCCTCTTAAATGATCAAAAACAACTTTTTTTCGAGACATCATAAATTGTGATCCATTTTCACACAACATTGTTATTCATGCAAAGACATAATCAGGTAATCAAACTGATAATATTAATTCTACTAACTACCATTACCATAGGAAATTGTTGTGTGACAGTAAAAAATCTGCAGTTTCAAACAGCAATAAAAAAGACCCAGTTTCGTTATCATATCAAACAGTTTTGATACAATGATAAGTTTTTTTATCAGTGTACCAAGAGGGATAGCGTGGTTTCAAGCTATAAATAACACGTAGGAAACATTTTATTTATGAAAAATGGTATTGTCAGTTTGCGATGCGAAATGTAAAAAATATTATTTTATTATTATTGAGTTCATGAATAATATCTCATTCAAATAGGGGAGAGCTCAATTTTTTTAGTTACTAGTTGTTGCCCGCGACTTCGTCCGCGTAGAATATGAATTTTAGAACATAACTTTTTTTTTGTTTCAATGTTCCAAATTAAAAGTAGCCTATGTTACCTCCTTAGTACATCAGCTACCTGCCAATAAAAGTCTTGCAAAATCGGACCGGCCATTTCAGAGATTAGCCAGTACAAACAGGCAGACAAAAAGCTTAGTCAGTTTAACGACACTCGCGGAGGTGTGGTGACATCCTGAAAATGTAAATCAAGTAAAATCTTGTCCATCAGTGGACAGTCCCAGGCTGTTGGCAGTGTTTTTTTTTAAGGGGGGAAATCATTGAAGGACTGCTCCCGCCTGGGTGAGGCGGGAGGGAGTGTCAGACTCTTACTGATTAAAAACCACCCCGTTCCTTCTCCTGCACGTTGAGCCGGAGCCCCGGGTACCCGTTAGGTTCTCCGCGACTCCGAAAGCGTTAACTGTCAATGTTGTTAATGAATGATAATAAATTGAACACCCAAAAACCCTTAAGACACACAAGTTCTAGATTTGTCTTTGCACCGAAATGGCCTGGTTGACGTGTATCTAGTGACTAGTGTGCCATTTTGATAAACGCAATATAAAGATACGAAGCGCTCATTTAAAATTCTGCTAATGTCATTGTGTACTATACTAACAGATAAGCAACTTTCACTACCGTCACAAACAGTGACAGAAAATAAAAGTAAACTCTACAGTTTTTCAGTATTTAATTCATGGTTAACAGAGCTGCACTTTGTAATATAATTAGTGCAGTTTTTGCGGTAGTTTTTTTGAAAGTAACATTCTGAATTAACACTAGAAAGGAGTTTCAGAACAAATAAATTGGTTTTATTAATAAAAATAATCCTCGAATTTTTTAATACCCAGCGCAAAATGAATGATTTCTAGAATTACACAAGTTTGTATTGCGTGGTTCACCCATGTTAACTTTGACTATTCAAATTAATATGATGATTTGTGACATTCCTTAATCGCTCCTTCCATTAATATATCTATGTTGTTCTGTTTATAAATACAAGCTTGTAAAAGACGTGTAGATAAAAGTTCATAATAAAACAGTCTTTCTAGCGAAAAACAGTATTTTTTCTTTATATTTTGCTTAAGAAACTTAATCCATAACATTAAATACTTTAATCTAAACTTCGAAAGATTTACTCGGCGTCCATTTACTCCATACTTTAAAAGTTTCTTTAGAAAATTCCTTCCTTATCAACGGAGATTGAATGTCAAAGTAAAAAATGCGCGTCCGGCGTTTCATGCCGCAACTAATTTCAACGCCAGCGACTATGAACGTGCTTTTTTTATTTCCTCCATGGCTGTATTGAATTCTTACTTGCCAGTCTCAACTGAATGACTGGCATTTCGGAATGTATCAATCTTTTTTTAAAAATGATTCGAATTTTTGCTATGTTCTATATTCACGTTTTTGGTTTATCGTTGCGAATATTGGTTTACTTCTGGTATCTACGTAGCTATGAAGCTGTTTTTATTTACCTATACCAAATTTTATTTTATGTTCCATTTAAACCATTTATTTATTTCTACTAAGAGCAAATTAAATTACTTAGTTGTAAAATATATATTTGATACTCTTTACTATAGAATTGTAATTACAAGTTGCGGAAAAATATAAAAAAGGTCCTTTTTGGGAACAGACAAAATATTGACATTTTGTTTTTAAATCCCCCTTTGTAATTTTTAGGTCTAATATGAGACCGAAATTAAGTCTCATAGTTCACCATCGATAAAATGTATGACTGTTAAAATAATGGGTGAAAAGTGGGTGTACCGTATATTCAGTGTAACCCCTTTTGCTAACACGATTATCTAACTAGACCACTTACGAAAGGAAACCATCAATTCTAATAAAGTCTTCATGTGTAATAAATTAATTCCAACTCCTGAAATAATCTTTTTATAACGATTCACAATAAAATGGACAATGTTACGACTGCGTTAAGTAACAATTTAGATTGAGTAACTACTGATAATGATTGCACAAGATCATTGAAGCGGTTCATTGATTGAAAAAGTTACATTAAATAGACATATTGATATTGGGATCACGCAAAAAGTAGCTGTAACAAATTTTGAAGTAGATATATTTTACAAACCTTGTAGAATTTAGAGCCGATTTTTCTTTAGATTAAGTATACCTATGTAAAAATTGGTGCGATGCAAATAGGGAACTCAATAATACATTATTTTTAGCATTATGCATTAGGACACTTTTTTATGGGTAAACGAGCAGACGGATTATCTGATGGTAAGCAATCGGCGTCCCCCATAGACAACCGGAACACCAGAGGTGTTACAAGTGCTTTACCGGCCTTTTAGGGGTTAGGAATTTGAGGATTGTTGAGGATTCAGGGATTGGGGAGATTGGGAAAAGGGCAGAGCCTCCTGTCCCCTCACACACACGACGAAACACAACGCTAGCGTTGTTTCACGTCGGTTTTCTGTGAGGCCGTGGGATTACTCCGATCGAGCCGGCCCATTCGTGACGAAGCATGGCTCTCCCACACTTAAAAACCTGATAGATAATGGTGAATAACCTTGTCTATCCAATCCCAATATCAAATATAAATGGCGATTCGACAGAAGAATACATTTAATAACCTTACATTAGTAAAAATTCTTGAATGTCAAATTAACGTACAATTATTTGCTTGTTACAGCAAAAGGACTGTTTCGCCGAGCACAATACTGAAGCGTGAACAGAAATGGCTGCGCATGCTCAACAATTGGGAGGCGTTTATGAGCAAGAACTACAAAAAAGTCAGGGAGAGGTGTCGAAAAGGTGAGAACAATACGATCTCTAATGCAAATTAAGTAATCCTTACATGTATAACATAACTTAACATCACGCCTTTAACCCCGAAGGGCTAGGCAGAGCACATTACGGCACTTAATGCCACTGAATAATGTAACACCCACCTTTCATTATCTTTGTTATGAGTCAATCGACAATTCCAGACCACGTGCTACTACTGAGAAATTTAAAAAAGAACCCAATAATACTTTGACCGATCTGGGAATAGAACCCGAGACCGCAGTTGCCCGGCAGTCGCACTTGCGACCATTCGGCCAACGAGGCAGTTGTTATAGCACTCATTATGTATACTACACAATATAATAAAGACGAAGAGTGTTTGTTTTACCGCGCTAATCTCCGGAACTACTGGATAAAATTTAATATGTAATTATTTTTGTGTTCGCTACTCTATTTATCGAGGAAGACTATAATCATGACACTACGATCAATCCTATTGACAAGCAAAACCGCGGGCGGAAAGTTAGTTAATTAATAAAATCATTAGTCGCTTACGATTCATTTATCATTGTTAATTAACGTTGTGTCTAGGATTCATTAACACCAGTTGTAATTAGCGTTTTTCTTTTGGTGACGAAATACTTAAAGAAATTGTTAATAAGATGAGAGCTGCCAAATATTGTATGCACGGATCTAATTTTAGTATTCCACAAGAATGGACTGTTTTATGGTCCAAATAAACTTAGATTGGAGATGTCATTTCATATAACATAACACAACAAAACATCACGCCTTTTATCCCCGAAGGGGTAGACAGAGGTGCACATTACTGCACTTATTGCCACTGTACACCCACTTTTCACTATTTATGTTATGAGTCCCATGTAATTGGGGGTGAGCTTATTGCCATATACCGGGCACATTTCCAGACTCCGTGCTACTACTGAGGTTTTTTACAAACCCAGTAATACTTGGCCCGACCCGGGAATCGAACCCGAGACCCCTTGCCCGGCAGTCGCACTTGCGACCACTCGGCCAATGAGGCAGGTTTCAAATACTAGTCTTATCATATCAGTGTCAAATACTGATGAACGGCAGTAACCTGTTTTTGTTTCAATTGGATACTGACACAGAATGCACAAGGAATCTCTTAAATCTTCGTGTGTCTTAACTTCAGCTAAGATTTAAGTAAGAATCTCAAGAACCAGTCAGTCTCCGCGTTCTTTAAGCCTCTTTGCTATCATCAAATATTCTAATCCAATTAATGTATCCTCATTCAGGTATACCAGCATCGGTTCGCCCAAAAGCCTGGCTCTACCTCTGTGGTGGGCAACTATTGCTGGAAAAGCATCCGAACGAATACGAAGAGCTGCTGCAGGCGCCCGGAGACCCGAAGTGCATGGAAGATATCAGAAAGGACTTGCATCGACAGTTCCCTTACCATGAGATGTTTATCCGAGAAGAGGGACTTGGGTTAGTGCTAATTGTGTTCTATTTGATAACCGTTAGGATATTTTTGCTATGATACAGATCGGCATATGAGCAGATCACTTGTTGGTAAGCAATCAGCACCTCTCATCTCAAAAGTCAAAAGTCAAAAATCATTTATTTCAATTAGACCAGGAAGGCACTTTTGAACGTCAGCAATAGAAATTTAAAAATGAAGCTATTTGATCATCATGGGAGGGACATTTAAAACACCAGAGGAGTAATAAGTCCGTTGCAGGCCTTTTGGTGATTAGGATATGTGGGAGAGATTGGGCTTGCGGTAACGTCCCATTCGTGCCCGAGGCATAACTCTCGAGAAAATTACACTCTTAATTATTTAATCAATATCTCTTGCGCCGAAAGAGGTAAACGAATATCCTGTTTACAGTTGGTAAAATAAAAGAACAATTTTAAAATCAGCATGGTAACAAAGTATTACTAATTTACTCAAACAGTTTTAAGTGGCGCTAGTGTCGTTTAAAGGCACCCCAATCTTGTATTTCTCCATGCATTACGTTAATTCCAATTTTATCCACCGGAACAAATAAGTCAGGACATTGCATTATGATTGTTTGTTTACACTCTCATTTCGTTCTGTTGCCAACTGCATCAATATTCTGATTTTGGATGCTTGCCATGGCCAAATACTATTTACGTTATTCGAATTTTAGTGTTGTATTATTGAATAACTTTTATCATTGGAAATTAATAGGGATTTCGGATTACATATTTTTTGAGGTATTATTAATGCCCAATTTTATTTCAAAATAATAATAATATTATTTTGTTTCATTAACCCGTCTGCGTATTTAAATACTTATAATAAATTCAATTTTTTTCTATCATGTTGTTGTATCTACTGTAGATACTGGCTTACAGTTGTTGAAGCAGTTTTGGGAGGTTGTAGCGAGCGTGTCCTAATAAAAAAAACGAATCTACATATCTTTAAACTGTCAAACACCAAGCGGTCACCGGTGACCGCGACCCATTGTTCTTTAATTGTGTCTATAAAACAGGTACTCGACGAGTTAAATTTGGCTTACAAGAAATAGAATTTAGACATAAGCTCCAAACAATATGTGCCAAAATTGTATCTGCAATAAGGAAATCCATAGATAGAAAAGGTGTGAACTGTATACATTTATTTCTTTCTAATTAAATATAACAAACATAGATGTTGTAATTAAACAAAGCATTTTAAGAATGTAATTGAGTACAATATACTAGATCCATTAATGATTAGTATAAGTAATTTTGCAGTTATGCAGTTGGTAGTAGTCGTAACGGTTCAGTTAATATTTCTAGAAATTCGTAGAGTTTATTATACAACTTCAGTGTTGGCTGAAGTGATATATTAATCTATACAGATAAATAAAATTGGAGTGTCTGTTTATAATAGTAAAATAACCGCTTTTTACTACATGCATATGAATATACGTACGATACATATACCGACATAACATATTGTACAACAAATTTTGTCTGTCTGTCTGACTGTTTGTACTGGATAATCCCTGGAATGGCTGGACCGATTATGCAAAACTTTTATCGGCGGGTAGCGATTATGTAACTTTTATATTCTACGCGGACAAAGTCGCTAGCAACAGCACCTACTAGAATTGCTTTGTACGCGATTAGTTAGTTTTTCATTTCAAAGTTTTTCGATTTTAGTTGTGAATAATGATAAAGTTATGTATCTTTATTCTTTGAGAGCCTTGTTTATGCCTAATGAAAAGATTAGTTTAACACTCACCAGATGTTTTTTTTTTAATGGATAATCATCAAAATATCTTTCGAGTAGAGTTATTTATCCTATATCCATCCTATAACTAATACCTCATACAGCCTCTTAATCTACACTAGCGCCACACATAGTAAGAACTCAGCGAAGGAGAAGCCTGTGCTAGTCCAATACTGCACTATGGGCCTCCTCTATAATAGTTTCCCATAGTCTAGTCTCTATGGTTGACTAGCAAGTTGGATAACGTAGTTTAAAAAGGTTTACCAGAAAACGCTGGTTAAAGACTGCATAGTAAAACTTTATAACTGTCAAAATTATTCTCACAATGGGTCTTGCACTTGCCCTGCGGTTAGGGACTGTCCGACTGTCCACACTGTTCATATTTACACGGTGACTAATGCTGGCTTATCATACCAGTGACGATGACGTATGACTTTGTTTTATACACTCGTACTATTATTTAAACTAGCCGGGGTTTTCATTCATTTTGTTTTTGCGTTCATTGTATGTATCTGCAAATAGGTACATAGATCTAGCTATCTACAGTTTGGTCTCAGTGACGTCATATTGTGGGCTGATTCTGTGGTGGCTTTTTCACGTCATTTCGAACGTTTATGGCTGTTGTTTAAAGGGAAATATAGGCGTCATAATTATTATTAATTTGTTAAATAATAGGTTCTGACGTGAAAGTTAACGATAATGAAATATTTTGTTTCGTTTTGTGAAAATCAAGAGGCCATGTTTGTTGTTACCCAAAGAATGGCAAATTAGATTTTATTTGCATGGTCATTGAGTATATTTTTGTATTTAATCCAGTAGATTGAATAATATTCAGACTACCGAAATTAAAAATGTTTCTGTGCCTTATCTGAAGAAATATAAAGTAATGAAAGTCTAATAATTCAAGAAGGTTATATGTATATTTAATGTGGTCCAATCAGAGACGCGTTTTCTGGTCATTTATCTCGAAAATCAAGTAATCGTATAGTGCGACGTACCATAGGCTTTTTTGTGTTTTAAATGGTTTTTCTTTCTTTCTTTCTTTAATCCAGGAAGGTAATATATTTAATTCGGTCCAACTTTTTCCTTCAAACAAACAAACAAACTAATTTCTTCTTCTCTCAAAATTGCAGACAACAGGAGCTGTTCTCAGTGCTGAAGGCGTATTCAGTGCTGAACCCCAAGGTGGGGTACTTCCAGGCTCAAGCACCGGTGGCCGCCTTCCTACTGATGCACATGCCAGCTGTACAGGCTTTCTGGTGCCTTGTCAGCATCAGTGATAAGTACCTTAGCGGGTACTATAATCCGGGACTTGAGGTGAGAGAACTTACATACATACATTACGCCACGCTGTTTACCCCCGAAGGGGTAGACAGAAGTGCACATTACGGCACTTAATGCCACTGCAATGTAAAACCCACTTCACTATTTATGTTATAAGTCCCATGAAATAGGGGGTGGGACTATTGCCATATACCGGGCACATTTCCAGGCTCCGTGCTACCACTGAGAATTTTTAAAACTCAGTAATACTTTGCCCGACCCGGTAACCGAACCCGAGACCAGTTACCCAGCAGTTGCACTTATGACCAGCCAGTCGGCCAATGATGCGGGCAGTGAGAGAACTTGCATCACTAATATCTACCACATCCACACTACCGGTATATGGAAGTATGGACATCTTCTAGATAAGTGGAATTTGCCATAATCTCTGCACTTGAATCAATTTTTCCCAGTTATTACGTATGAGGGTAAAAACAACATCATCGAATTAAATCGACTCGCATGTGTTGGGTAGGCTTATTATGCCTGCCTTGCAATATTCATTGTATACAGTAGTTATCTTTTCCCATATATAAACAAAGAAATCTTAAAGCCTTTTCTTATCTGCTCATACAAAAACGGAACTGATAAAAATAACTACTACATAGTAACCAAAGCTAAAAAGAAATGTCTATGAGTCGACTACCTAGCAACGAAAACAACAAAATAAATAAAACGCCATCTATTATTTGTTACCAGAAAAGTTATAGCATAGGCTCTGTTACTAATTTCCCTCGAATATGGACAAGTATGGTTCTTATCAGCAGTACAATACAAAGAGATTATAGTCAAATAGGAATAGGTCTTTATTAAGTAGTATTTCACCCAATAGAAATATTATATATGCATCATAAAAATATTGTATATTTATCATAAAAATCCCGACAGGTCCTCCAACGCGACGGCGATATCCTCCACGCCCTCCTACGCCGCACGGCGCCGGCAGTGCACCGTCACTTGGTGAAACACAAGGTCGAACCTGTACTGTACGCTACGGAGTGGTTCCTCTGTGCCCTCACTCGCACCTTACCCTGGGACAGTCTACTGAGGGTCTGGGATTGTTTCCTCTGTGAAGGAGTTAAGGTATGTTCGTTTAAACAGGTTGTTTGTTGACATCAATTCAATTGGATGTATTCTGAATTTACCCTTAGATGATGATAATATCTATCTTACTAAATATAGACCAGAACCAGTGTAGGATACACACTACAATCATTCAACCACATCTAACCATTTCAGGTATTATTCAAAGCAGCGCTAGTGATCCTAGCAGGTGCCCTAGGACCGGCGAAGGTGCGCAAACGAGCGTGTGGTCTATGCGAGACCTTGGAAGTGTTACGTCACCCTCCCGAAGGTATACTGGGAGAGGACTACCTCATGTATCATATGCAACGACTCAACCTCACCGAGGAGGACTTTGAGTTCGAGCACCAGCGTCAAACCGCTAGGCGGCGTGCCATGCCTAACAGAAGGTACGTATAGATAGATAGATCTTGTTCTACGTATCTCGTCAGTTGATTTTTTTTTGGGATAAGTCGATAAACGAACATATGCGTCACCTGTAGATAAGCACTACTTCTGAGAACTTTGAATATCAAACTAATTCCAATAAAAAAATATCATTTTTTGACATGGTCAAGGGTCCTTTCTTTACTTGACCAAGACATTTTGATATTCGTCTTGGTAGTTACTTGTGTAGCGTAAACGTTAAAATATCTTAATTAAATTCACGATCTTACGATTTAATATTAGCCCAATGAATCAATCAATCTAACAACAACAATTTCCTATTCCAGTGGCAGCTGATTCAGCGACTGTTCCTATAAGCGCTATTCCAAGAATAACGCGAGGGATCTGTTCAATACTCTGTAAGTTGAGTGCATGGACTATATGACAATAAAACAGTAAGGTACGCCAGCGGGCTGTACCAGTGCTTTGTGATAGTGAGCGTAACGCACGACCAACTGACGACTGAGTGCATTAAGTCCGATAGAATTAACGACTTCAACTCGTCTTGTAACATAACCTTAAAGTAAAAATAGTTCTCGATTCAATGTACAGATGTCGCCAGGTTGGAGCTTTGTATGGACGAACTGTCACTCTTAATGAAGCACCTTGATTGGTCGATTCCGCACCATGAATAACGGTTTCGCATTTCAAAATTGAAATGCAGCTAACTTCACTCCGGTGCTATTTTGTTTTGCTTATGTCATGCAAAGCTCAAATCTTTTGGCGAATAGTAAAATGGTAATTTTTAAACGATTATTGTGAAAGGTTTTCATTTAATTCCTTCATGAAAACGATTATTGTAAAAATGTGTGTCTTGCTAGTTGTAAAGTTGACTTGAAGTAGATTTTGATTCTAGATATTTTGTAAAGAACATGCTAGGTATTTAGTCTCTGATGGAGTTGCAATACGGCTGAGTCTGTTTCATTACCTACTATAAAAAAATATTTTTCGCTCAGATGATTCCTTTAAACCATCAAATCTCTACTTGTTACCCTTCCCCCTACCCCTCAATGGTCCCGCTGAATCGAGGTTCGGACCCCCCCCCCACAAGGGTTGCCCTCAGTGATGCAGTCATTTTAGATTGTAGTGGATTTTGTTACCCTGTCTGGGGGCTTTAACATAGAGGGCACCACAGGGGTTTGTCCGGTTAAGTACTCAATACGCCTTAGCGTGCTGAACTATATATGTGTGGGCAGTAAAAAACAAGTGATCCATTTTTACCATTATGAAGTCCTCTAAATGGTAGAACCTTATTGCAGACATTCTCGAACATTCTTTTCGTTAAATTCAACTTCTTTAGCTTCCATACAGTATTTTAAATCTGCCTCACCTTTTGCAGTTTGAATGTAATATTGTTCTGATAAGCTAATATAAACCTAACTATATTAGAGATATGGTTTTATTTAAAATAAAACTAAATTTTAATAATGGCAGCTTTTTGCTTTTGAAAGATTTGGGATTTATTTGAAAAAGGTTGAATTTACGGATAGTTAAAAAACATAAAAATGTGAATATCGATTTATTGATACCTGGAACTCGGTCTATAGATTTCACATGCATTTGGCTGAAATAAATTTTGCTCCAAATCAAAATTTAAAAAAATATTCGAATGATGATAGAAACTCCAGTCATTAAAATTATATTCTAATAGTAGAGAGATTGTAGGATAAGGTGAGACTGTAATGTAAATAAATTGTAAAATATACGAAATTAATCCATAATACATTGTGATAAGGTTCGTTATTAAATATTAAAATAAAATTACATATCTATTAATAAACGTGTTGATTGGCTAATATATTGCAACGTAATAGACAATTTTCCATTCCATTTTTAAGTGTATGTATGAAAGAATTATTAAATTAATCGTGTAGATACTTTTTGGTCAAAAAACTGAAGAGTTTTTATTCAAAAATCTTCGTCATAGTAGATGTTAAAAATGTATAGTGACGTAATTCGTTATTTTCCCGTTGTGACACATGTCAATGTCGAAGCAAAACGTCTATACGTTTGCCGTATTGTTTTTTCGAATTGGTACAATTTGGACGAGAATAATTAAAATTTTAGGGCTTCAAGTTACTGAATGCTTATTTTTATATTATTATAAGTTATTTCAATGCGTTCTTTATATGGATTACTTTTGAATAAATTGTAATAATAAACTTGTGTGTTAGCGCCTAATTTACTATGTTTGATTAAGTTTTTAGAAGTTAACCCTTTGAGTACCGTCATTATAGGCACAATTAAAAATAATAGATGTGTGGACACCGGTCTCGTGGTGTTAGACAGTTTAAACTGATAGAATTATTATTCTTATATAATTTGATGTATTTCCAATATTAAATATGTCAAATAAACGTATCAGTTAAGCTTAAACCAACTTAATCAGACATATTAAAACAGGCCCTAAGTCACAATTATTTCCGTCTGAAAGAAGCTTGTATCTCAGTCATTAAATAAGATATTCCTATAGACCTATACTTGAGTCTGATTGTGGCCCATATTATATAATTTTTCCGTAAATCTATATTATTATGACATTCCTATTAGTCTTCCTCTTCATCCGATTTACAGGCGAGCAGGTCAAGCTACTCAGATCTATCGATTTCTTTATTACATTGTCAACTTTAAATGTTTTAATACAAAGTCGAATTTTCAATGAAAATATTGATAAATTAGAGTAGATTGTCCTGCTGTGGACTGTACGAGAACGACCACGCAAAGAGATCTGTATTTTTTTAACATTTTCAAACAATATTACATATAATAAAGGAAAACTCATATTTTACTACTCTTTCTGTTTTTAGTCTCATATTAACTGTTTATTGTATGAAAAAGGTTCTATGTAGAAACTATTTTAAAAAAATACGTGGACATATTTTGCTCTGACAACACTGAAGTCGATTTTTAAATTATTGGTCTTCGCGCCAAAATAATGTTGCAAGCTTAATTAAAGTAATATAAAAATCGATTAAAGTGGTTATTAGCAAATGTTGTCTCTGTCTTATTAACTCGCAACAAAATACCTGTATTGTCTTATGAAAAGAAATCTTATAATCAGATTATTTTTACTAAACTCTATAATTCATATTATACGCAGTATAAAGCGGTTGCTATAAACTACAAAAAACAATAGGAATAGTTTCCAATTAGTCAAATTAAATATTGTTTTCGAAATGTCAAAAATTATAATTTTATTAATTTACTTTGTGATTTTATTTTATGAAATAATAATATTTTGGTTCAAATGAAAAACTTATTTCTTTATAAAAACTAGATGAATATGAAAATAAATTATATCGCCAAATTCATGAATGAAAGTGACATTCTTTTTTTATATCATTGTTTCAGTCTAAGGAAACTACTTCTAAATTTAAAAATTTGACAACTCAAACGTCAAGTGGCCGCATAGATAATATAGATTCTATTTTTTTTTTTGTTACAACATGACTGCCCGTTACCACTATAAAGTTATAATGATAAGAAACAAATATCGAATCTAGGCTATGATTTAGTACTAAGTTTGCGCACATGCGTCTAAATGGTGCATAATGATTTTCCTTTTTTTGTTTATTTAATTTATGTTTTCGACGGCTTAGTAAACGTGTTGTTTCTGGGTATCATAATTCATAGATGGAGATGATAACAGGGTATGAGAATTAAACATATATTTAGTCCATCAGATTTTGAAAAAATATTACACACGTATTTTTTATTACAATATTTGGGATGGGAGCTAGCTACGTCATTCTTATGTATAAAATATACATAGAAGTGACGTCATGCGGTGTTTCAAATTAATGAATCTAAGTATTATATCCAAAGGTGTTGATTAAAAATATGTGACTAATATTTAAGTTATTCTATTAAATGGACTTCAATAAAAAATCAACCTTATTGCCAAAAAAAGTAAAGTTAAAAAGCACTGAGAATACGAGTCATTGAAAATGGTGCAATGAAATCGACTAAAAGATGTTTTTGTCTATAGATAAAAAATATCTTTTGAGCAACAATTTCTCTTTTATTAATTATGATATCCTTTATTGATTTATTTATGAGTATTTAATAATGGTTACTAAGTCGTTGTTCAAAGTATTGTGTAGTATTATAGTCTGGAGTTTGAATGGAAATAAATGATTATATGTAAATTAAAATATTATGATTGAAGTATTGTATCATGATTTAATTCGTACTTTTTCGACTAGAAACTAATAACATAACATCACGCCTTTTTGTCCTCAAAGGGGTAGGCAGAGATGCGCATTACGGCACTTAATGTCACTGCACAATGTAACTCCCACTTTTCACTATTTATGTTGTGAGTTCCATGTAATAGGGGGTGAACCTATTGCCATATACCGGGCGCAATTCCAAATCACGTGCTACTACTAAGATTTTTTTTATTATTTATTACTTTTCCCGACCCGGGAATCGAATCCGACACCCCTTACCCGGCAGTCGCACTTGCGACCACTCGGCCAACGAGGTAGTCAAGGTTTTTTAATTTTTGTATTGATATTATCTGCCTATCATGTATGCCTTATTGAAGCAAAGCATTTTAGGTGCGATTCCTAGAAATTCTCAGTAATAGCACAGAGTCTAAAAATGATATGATGGAGCCTACTATATTTTTGCACACTAGATGCCGCTAATGTGTACCTCGCGTTCTTCGTCCAATAGGGAATTAGCCAGTGTCTCACCATTGGACGTTCAATATTTGACAGCGGCTTTGATTGGACAAAATAACTCCTTCTACATTCACGCCCACACGAGCAAAAAAACGTTAGCTGTCAATGTACCTCGGTGCATAGCAATAGGCGCACCCTTATTATATAGGTTTCTTAAATAACTAATGAAAAGTGAATGTTACTTGGTATTGTGTATATGATAATATGTCTATCCCTTTGGGGATTCAAAGACAAAAGACGTGACTTTATTTCTTGAGAGTATACCAAACTTGTACAGTGGCTAGCAGGTCAACTACTACTTCAACTTTATGGATCTGACATAAAGTCGAAAATCCAATGAGTAAATTTGACAGATTGGAGTATTTTGATGTGCTGACGACTGTATAATAATAATAATTTAATAAATAATCTTTATCAAAATATAAATGTAGAAAGTGATTCAATTACTTGGAATGTGTGCGTGTGTATGTAATTTTTGTTTATTTTTCAATGGAAATTTTTATTCAACGTTATTTGCGTAGTTGGTAACTATTATTATTATTATTTTATTTGTTGTTATTGCTAGTTTCCACTTTATTTAGAAATAATTAGATTGTATTGTAATCGTGGATTTACCTGCTTATGGAAATAGGAGCGAGACTACACTGCCAGAGCTACTTACGTGACATACACAGCCAAGATATTTTATATGCAGATAAAAAGTAAAGATGGCTGCTGAGCCGGCCAGTAGTTACAACAGATTTGACCGCTGTACTGAATAAATCTTTACTTTCCTCCTTGTATACTAAATGGCTTGGCTGACAGTATACTGGAGTAGTTTTTCTGTTTTGATTATTGCATAATTGTAATCCAGTCATTGTGACAGTTAGGGGCAAAATGGCAGAAATTTTTATGTAAAAATTAGCTCCT